TCATGATGAGGACTATAGTAGCAGTTAAGCCATCTGTTAAGCGCTACTGTGTGTGCGCGCGCTCGGGGCTTTCAACTCCAGAGTGGGTTCAGGGTGCTGAAGTTTGTGATATTGAAACATGTAGACTTCGACTTGAAACATTCCAAATCCTAAGCCCTAAACTGGGGCCCTAAACAATATAGAAGTTGGAATACTTCGGGTACCTGTAGCAACTGAAAGGATAAGAGGACTGAGTAAGGATGGTCGTCAACTAGGATTTAGGCAATTCTGCGTATAGCTTCCGAGCTATATCTCTACTTTTCAATTCCCGTTATCCTCTAATTAAGATCCCTAAATCCTAAACACTACATCCCATACCCTACTTTAAGGCGAAGCTCAGGTGCCCGCGCTTCTTTGGTGACGGCGCCCATGGGCGCGGCAGTCGGCGGCCTCAGGGGGGTTTAGGGTTTAGGGTTTAGGGTAAAGGGCTGGAGGTAGGACAAGGGGTTGATAAGGGTTCTATAGGATTTTTGAAGGTGTTTATAGGGTTTTACCAGGGGTCTTGTAGGGTTGAGTCGAGTTTTATAGTGAGTATAATATTCTGTTTACTCTGTGTTTCATGGTTTGGGCGCTCGGTTTCATTGCATTAGGGGCTCAAGTTTGCGCCTTATGAGTATCAACCGTAAACCCAAATCATAAACCTCAAACCCTAAACCCTAAAGCCTAAACCGCAAACCCCAAACCGTAACCGTAATTGTAACCCTAAACTGTACAGCATTAATGGGCGCTTGGAGCTGGAAAGAAAGTGAAGACGGATTGAGAGCTGGAGCCAACACAAACACTGCAATATAAGCAGACGTCTGAATGACCAAGCATTTCTGTTCATTCTATATCCTTAGGTAAAAGTTATGTACGTATATATACATACATACATACATACATACATACATACATACATACATACATATACATACATACATACATACGTACATACATACATACATACATACATACATAGATACATACCCTCATTCCAGAAATTAAGTCCTCACAACCTATGTCAGCCCTAGAAGTCATTTCAAGCCTAATCCCGAAATCTCGAAGCTTCCGGGAGCGAAGAGGCATCAGACTTCCTTAAACCAGCAGAGCCCGAACTGCACATTCCTAGAAGCTTAAAGCCTTAGATGGCATCAACATTCCAAAATTTCATGAGATCCAAAAGACAACCCTAAACTCCTAAACTATGGTTCAAGGCAGAGAGAGGGAGTTATGCGTTTATATATATATATATACATTCCTATATTCCTTGATTAAGGGGCATTGGGCTC